CTATAAACAAGATAAACATACATTTACCTACATTTAAGACATCTCATGTTTCCTTCCTCCCCTCCTCCTCTCTGTGAGTAGTATTGTGGTATTATGATGTTAGATTCCTAAGGCAGTATCACAGTACAGTCCATAGAGAAACAACAGCAGTACAGAAATACACTGACTTGCCCAGAACCTTACATCCAGCTCAGGTGGATCACTGATGGCTTCTGGCTGTTTTTTTCTCTTTTTTTAAGCCTCTGAATATTTGGTTGCACTTTCCAAAATTGAGGAGAAAAAAAAGATTCTGGAGGTGATTTAAAACTGAAATCTCCTTTCTTGTGGTGCCCTTGTAGCGCAGTGGGCTAAGGCACATCCCAAGTTCTTGCGACATCATTGGTTTGAAACCAGCTCATGACCACTGTCGCCATTTGCTCTCCTCTCACCCTTCCCATCACGTTCCACTGTGGAAAAGCTACAGGTTATAATACCACCACTGGTTTTGGTTATAACAGATATTAATGTAATTGAAAAGCTGATACTGTGATTTTGAAACCCTGACATCTGACTTTATATCCCATTATCGTCTTTTTGTGCAACTAAAAATTAGAGTCATTTTTGGGGCGCATTTATTGTTAATCACTTTTAGCTCTGAAAATAGTTTATATTGTGATATTTGTAAGATGATGATTTAACTGAAACTGTTTGAACAGGTTAAGCTGTACTAACGACTTAACTGTATTAGTTTAGTGCAAAACTAATCTTTCGTTTCAAGATTCAACTCACAGCATTTGGTTGAAATTCGACCTACTTTTACTGCACCCACAACAAGCAGAACTATTTCTACATAACACACCTGATGACTACTTGTAAACATAAAGGTAATAGGAAGTCGTATGCACATGCACAGACTAATTCAGGTTTCTGGTACAGATTAAGACGTGACAGAGACCACAGTGGAGTGTGATGGGAATCAAAAGCTCATTTTTAAAAATAAAAGGTTACAGAGCTTGTAGATGTTATCAATACGACTCGAGGCTTCCAGTAAATTCAGTGGCTCAACTTTCAGATATAGAGTTCTGGGCGAGAGCTGGGCCGGCAGCCGTCCGGCGTGACGTGGGTTGGTTCTGGCACTGAGGTGGCCGATTTCTGAGTGGTCTACAATCAGCTGGGGACAGCTCAGGCAGCTCGGGTTGCCCATTTTTTTCATGTTGTGCTAAGATGAAAAAGGTTCAACTATACACTATGATTTTTAGACAGTTACTATCAGGTGACAACAACTAGAGGCACTGAAGCGTCTGCGAGTGCCACAACCAACCCAGACGTCTCCTGTTTGAGTGATATTGTAGTGCGTGTAGTCTATAGTACAGTAGCATCAACACAATGGTCCAATAGACAGATCAGATAGAAGATATCATACAGATGGTCCAATACAGTTATAGTACAACATCTATACATTGTGCGTTTTTTTTTGTTTGTTTGTTTTCTCATATTTTTCAAGAGATCTCAGGGGTTAAACTTGGTCACCATTACATCACTGCTGTAAGACGGGTAAGGGATTAAAAGAGTGGTGGGCAGAGCCATAGAAAAACAGCGTTTGATCTTTAGAGTCTTGCAACTTGGCGTCAGGTGTGGAGAACCACTTCTAGAGTGCAACACTGTCAGAAAAAAACAGAATATGCCAGTTTAACAGGGTGGCAGTAATAGAGCAATAAAGTAGGCAAGTTTAAGAATTTTGAGGTAGAGTTTTGGAGAACTTGTTCAGTGGTTCCACAAAGAGACTTTAGTTGGGCGGCCTGCCCGGTTATAATTTGCAACTCATTTTTCAATTTTTATCCGTGGACAACTGCCTCGCTCTTTGGATGAAAGGTAAGTCACTCCTAACCCTGACCCTCTAAGCCTTTCTTCCTCAATCAGCCGGCTTACTCGCCAGATCCAGGATCCGTGATATGTTCCATGTAGGTTCATAAGTTCTATTACTCAACTACAACCACCAAAATGATCTCGTCCCACAGTCACGCGTACTCCAAGTCAGCTGTTGACAGTAATTCTTGTTCTGCTCTGAAAATCAGCTTCGACCCAGAGGTCTGCTGTATCCTTGGCAACACTGTTTTCTCACATCAAGAGGGACCCGGAGTTGACTCCATGCAGGAAGCCCCATGTGGAGTTTACATGTCTTTACTTGTTGGGAAAGGTTTATGTTATCCATCTAGTCCCAGTAAACTCAGATACTCTCACATCATTTTCCTAATTAAATCATTTTAAATAAATAATCAGAACCTGCAGCAGGTGGTGAACTCACTGCAGAGCAGAACAAGGATGACCTGTAGATGCAGCTGATTATTGCTATTTACTATGAAAATGTTTGTATTCTTTATTGTTTTTTTATTTTTTAAGAAAGCATGGGTGCACCTATTTTCATGTGCACGTACACATGACCCTTACTAACACCACAAATACAGTCTAACTCTGTGCGAGAGCTGTTATTCAGCAGCTGGGTCACTGTGAATAGACTGACGTGCATCCAAATACACTGACATCACTCTTCAGTGTGGCTACAGGGGCAAAAAACCAGGCCAGACTGAAGACAAACCACAGAAACTAAACCCGCGATCGTTATCAAGTTATCCATGAGAACTTTTTGATAAGACTTACTAATAAGTCTTATGAAACTTAAAAAAGGTAAAATATTATTTTAAACCAGAGGTAAGACTATTAACTTATCCTAGCAGCACTCCAAGGACAAAACCTCTCCCATGTTTTCTATAACAGTTATAAATTTTGCCCAGATCTCAGTTTACCAGCCAAATCAATTCCACTGTCGTGCAGATGATTGAATACTGGATGATCACTCTCATTAACCTTAACAAATGACATTTTGTGCTTGTGGAAGCTCACTATCTGAGTCATCCGGAGAGCCCTAAAAATTTCTAAAGAGCTGCTGCAAAGTCCTCTCGGATACCCTGACCAAACCTTCTGTCTATCCATGGCTCTGGTTCCAAAACAGGGTTAAGGGTTAAGTTAGGGATCAGGACACTGAGGACTTCAAAGGGTTAAAGGACTAAAGGGTTTACAATACTAAGGTGTTTAAGGAGTCTGGATGATGAGTTATTGAAGTTAGGCAATGACAGTCAAGGTTTACAGCAATGAGAGATTTACCGAGATACAGGAGCTGAGAGATTTATGGGTGGAGAGGTTAGTATGAGTCTTATGGGCGGGCAACGTTAGGATATGACTGTGGCCTCCGTAACTATGGCAGGATCTTCTATGTCAGCTTTACTTTGGACCATCCGCAGCTCCAGCTGGGGCGGACTGGGCCTCCGACCAGGACCTGCTAACTCTGAGGGCGAGAGGGGCAGGTAAGGGTCACACAAAACTCAATTAACCCGCAAAGTTTGGAGTCTGAAGACAGGTGTCATGAACAAACTGCCATTCATGCAACGCATTTAAAAGCAGTTATGCAGGAGAAGCCAGTAACTAATAACAACAGGAGCAGAAATCCAGACCCACAGATGTGAGCTATCAATCAGCTGCTGTAAGAAATGCAGGTAAGAAATATTACTGCTAGTTTTTATTTTTACCACTAAAAATGTGAAACTCTAAAGTAAGACGCTGTTTAAACTGATTTAATATAATTGTTTGTGTTTTTGTTCATGAAATTCAAACAAGGAAAGCTTTAGGCGCTGATAACTAGTTCTGTTATTCTCACCATGAGCGTAGGATATGGTCCTCTGGATAACGTGATGCATCACTGAAAACGTTTTCTCACAGGCCGTCTGAGAGACAGAAAAGAAAAGAAAACGTCTGACCCTGGAGGATGAGGTCATAGTGCACCAATCCGATGAGCGCTGAAAAAGCATCAGGTAGAAGTCTCGTTCCTCCCCCTGATGCTCAGCCTTCGGACTTAGAAAGTTTGGACTCACCAACTGCTGAAAACTGTTTAGCTTTTACCACCAGTGAGTATCCACCACATGGATTAAGTTAACATTCACTCTCTGGGGTGAGATCACAAAGGGCACAGTGTAAGTGAATGGGACTTCCATGGAGTGATCTTAAACTAGCAGCAGTGCCTGACAGGAAAGCCAAATCTAAGGGGTTTGAATTTTATGTTTTTTATGTGATTACCCCTCTCACACAGCATTATTGTTGCATGAGCTTATGTTATCGTCTTTTTTTAACAATCTTTTTATTGTTTTTGTAACAGCATA